TTGGGAAGTTTCTCCTTAATTTCAGCTTGCTTCTCTCCTTGATCAGTTTCCATCCATTGCTTCTTGCCTTCTGGTGCTTTGGGAAATAAGCTGATCTGCCCTCTTCTTATGGGGCAGCCCCTCAAATACTGGAAGACTGCTACAATGTCTCCCCTTAGTCCTTCTTTTCTCTAGACTGGCCACACCCAGTTCCTGCTACCGTTCTTCATATGTTTTCATCTCCGGGCCTTTAATCGTCTTAGTTTGCTCTTTGCACTTTTTCCAAAGTCTCAACATCTTTTTTGCTAATGCGGTGACCAAAGCTGGATGCCGTATTTCAGGGAGGCCTTACTAAGGCTTTACAAAGTGATACTAAGACTTCACGTGATCTTGATTCTATGCCTCTATTTATACAATCAAAGATTGTATTAGCCTTTTTGGCCGCTGCTGCCCACAGCTGGCTCTTGTTTAAGGGATCGTCTACTAGGACTCCAAGGTCCCTCTCCTAGTGACTGTTTTTGAGCCAGGTTTCGCCTTAATCTGTGCTTGTGTCTTTGGTTTTTCCTGCCCAAGTATCAAACCTTCCTTTTCTCTGATAGGAGTCTTCTAATATCTCAGGGGCTGCCCCAAAGAAGAGGGAGTCAAGCTATTCTCCAAAGCACCTGAGGGCAGGACAAGAAGCAACGGGTGGAAACTAATCAAGGAGAGAAGCAACCTAGAACTAAGGAGAAATTTCCTGACAGTGAGAAGAATTAACCACTGGAACGACTTGCCTCCAGAAATTGTGAATGCTCCAACACTGGAAGTTTTAAAGAAGAGATTGCATAACCATTTGTCTGAAGTGGTGTAAGGTTTCCTGCCTAAGCAGGGGTTGGACTAGAAGATTTCCAAGGTCCTTTCCAACTTTGTTCTTCTCTTCTCTTCTCTTCTCTTCTCTTCTCTTCTCTTCTCTTCTCTTCTCTTCTCTTCTCTCTCTCCTCTCCTCTCCTCTCCTCTCCTCTCCTCTCCTCTCCTCTCCTCTCTTCTCTTCTCTTCTCTTCTCTTCTCTATAAAATATATGAAGAACAGTTGCAGGAACTGGGTATGTCTAGTTTGATGAAAAGAAGGACCAGGGAGACAGGATAGCAGTCTTCCCTATCTCAGGGGCTGCCCCAAAGAAGAGGGAGTCAAGCTATTCTCCAAAGCACCTGAAGGCAGGACAAGAAGCAATGGATGGAAACTAATCAAAGGAGAGAAACAACCTAGAACTAAGGAGAAATTTCCTGACAGTGAGAAGAATTAACCACTGGAACGACTTGCCTCCAGAAATTGTGAATGCTCCAACACTGGAAGTTTTAAAGAAGAGATTGCATAACCATTTGTCTGAAGTGGTGTAAGGTTTCCTGCCTAAGCAGGGGTTGGACTAGAAGATTTCCAAGGTCCTTTCCAACTTTGTTCTTCTCTTCTCTTCTCTTCTCTTCTCTTCTCTTCTCTTCTCTTCTCTCTCTTCTCTTCTCTTCTCTCTCTCCTCTCCTCTCCTCTCCTCTCCTCTCCTCTCCTCTCCTCTCCTCTCTTCTCTTCTCTTCTCTTCTCTATAAAATATATGAAGAACAGTTGCAGGAACTGGGTATGTCTAGTTTGATGAAAAGAAGGACCAGGGGAGACAGGATAGCAGTCTTCCCTATCTCAGGGGCTGCCCCAAAGAAGAGGGAGTCAAGCTATTCTCCAAAGCACCTGAAGGCAGGACAAGAAGCAATGGATGGAAACTAATCAAAGGAGAGAAACAACTTAGAACTAAGGAGAAATTTCCTGACAGTGAGAACAATTAATCAGTGGAACAACTTGCCACCAGAAATTGTGAATGCTCCAACACTGAAAGTTTTTAAGAAGAGGTTGGACAACCATTTGTCTGAAGTGGTGTAGGGTTTCCTGCCTAAGCAGGGGGTTGGACTAGAAGACCTCCAAGGTCCTTTCCAACTTTGTTCTTCTCCTCCTCTTCTCTTCTCTTCTCTTCTCTCCTCTCCTCTCCTCTCCTCTCCTCTCCTCTCCTCTCCTCTCCTCTCCTCTCCTCTCCTCTCTTCTCTTCTCTATAAAACATATTAAGAACAGTTGCAGGAACCGGGTATGTCTAGTTTCATGAAAAGAAGGACCAGGGGAGACATGATAGCAGTCTTCCAATATCTCAGGGGCTTCCACAAAGAAGAGGGAGTCAAGCTATTCTCCAACGCACCTGAGGGCAGGAGAAGAAGCAACAATGGGTGGAAACTAATCAAGGAGAGAAGCAACCTAGAACTCACGAGAAATTTCCTCACAGTGGGAACAATTAATCCAGTGAAACGACTTGCCACTAGAAGTCATGAATGCTCCATCACTGGAGGTTTTTAAGAAGATGTTGGATAACCATTTGTCTGAAGTGGTGTAGGGTTTCCTGCCTAAGCAGGGGGTTGGACTAGAAGACCTCCGAGGTCCCTTCCAACTCTGTGATTCTATTCTATTCTCCACATTAAATTTCATGTGGTTGTATTGTTCAAGAACTGGATCGCTTTGTGTGCAAGACAATCGTTGACCTTACAACCACAGCTGAGAACAGAATTTGTCTCGCTAAGCACCTTTCTATAAAGGTTACAAAAGGGAAAAGTCTGAACCAGAAGGGGATTCCTGATTTCCAGAGATGTTGTTGGCAGGGACTTTTCTGGGAAAAGGAAGGGAGGGGAGAGGAAGCCGACAATTCTCTGGAAATCAGGCCATTGTAAGAGACAGCTCAACTCTGTTGCAACTTCGGCTTTTCCAAAACAGTCGCAGGAGCCAGGAATTTGAAGGGAATCCCCTCTGAACTGGAAACGTTTGAAAAAGGGTGTCCAGAAATTTTTACAGATTTATCCTATTTATAGATTTGTTTGTTTTTATGGAGAGCCAGCAACCAGGAGATTGTGAGTTCTAGTCCCACCTTAGGCGTAATCACCTTGGGAGCCAGTCCCTCTGTCTCAGCCCAAATCCACCTCACAGGGCTGTTTAGTTGAGGGGGGAAATAGAAAGAGGGAGGGAGAATTTGGCACGGTCACCCCTTTGAAACAAGGTGGACGGGATGGAAAAGAGTATTTTTTAAAAAGTTGGCTGGGCTCAACGAATGCTTACTTTTGGCATCTCCCACCTTACAAGATTTAATTTAATTTAATTGATCGCATTTCTATGCCGCCCACAACTCCCAAGGGACTTTGGGCAGCTTACGGCAAAAATAATGCGAACATAGAAAAATTATTTAAAAACATTTTAAAAACATTAAAAGCCCATGCACGCCATTCATGGCCGGATCTCGCCAGATCGCAAGAGCGAGATCAACGGCCCCAGGCCTGCCGGAAGAGCCAGGTCTTCACCACTTTTCGGAAGGCCAATAGGGTGGGGATGGTCTGGACCTCAGGAGGTAACTGGTTCCAGAGAGCTGGGGCAGCCACAGAGAAGGCCCTCCCCCGTGGGCCCGCCAGCCGGCATTGTTTAGCTGACGGGACCCAGAGGAGATCAACTCTGTGGGATCTTACCGGTCGCTGGGAGCTATGCGGTAGAAGGCGGTCTCGAAGATAACCTGGCCCTGAGCCATGTAAGGCTTTAAAGAGTAGCCAAAATGAACAAAAATTATTCACCGATGAGTTGGAAATGTGAGGCGGTGTTAGGGACCTTTTATCATATCCGGTGGGAATGCCCGAAAACCTGGCATCGGATAAAGCAATGGCTGGAGGAAATACTAATGCAAAATATAGAATTAAAGCCAGAACTAGGTATTACAATAGATCAGGGGTCAGCAACCTGCGCCTCTGAAGCCGCATGTGGCTCTTTCACCCCTCTGCTGCGGCTCCCTGTCGCTCAAAATATGCGTCACAACCGCCAATGTGCGACACCCGCCGGCACTCCATTTATTGAGCTTTTCAACCCTCAGTAGGCCAACCATGGATAACTCCAAGAAAAGAAAAGTTTCAGAAGAAAACAGAACGTTTAATTCAACGACAGATGCTAGTTTTGTGGCCGCTCAAGACATAGTCAGGCACTGGAAGGGTTTTGTGGCTCCCGGTGTTTTCTTTTCTGTGGGAAAAGGGTCCAAATGGCTCTTTGAGTGTTTAAGGTTGCAAACCCCTGCAATAAATAAATACAATAAGGAAACAATAAATGTTATATATTCTAACGGCAGCAGGACTGGCCTTTGCACAAAACTGGAAAAACAAAGAAACCCCCTCAGAGGAAGAAGTAGTAGCTAAGATATTAACTTGTGATGAAATGGACAGGTTAACTCAAAGATAACTCAAAGATAAGAGTGAAACAGAATACTATGAAATCTGGAATAAATTATATCCCTCCTCCTACCTACCTACCTTCCTTCCTTCCCTTCCCTTCCCTTCCCTCCCTCCCTCCCTTCCTTCCTTCCTCCCTCTATTCCTTCCTTCCCTCCCTCCATTCCTTCCTTCCTTCCTTCCTTCCTCCCTCCCTCCCTCTATTCCTTCCTTCCTTCCCTCCCTCCCTCCCTCTATTCCTTCCTTCCTTCCCTCCCTCCCTTCCTCCCTCTATTCCTTCCTTTCCTCCCTCCATTCCTTCCTTCCTTCCTTCCTTCCCTCCCTCCCTCTATTCCTTCCTTCCTTCCTCCCTTCCTCCCTCTATTCCTTCCTTCCTTCCCTCCCTCCCTCCCTCCCTCCCTCTATTCCTTCCTTCCTTCCGACTAACAAGTTTCTTTAATCCGCTCCATAGATATTCAATTGGGTTAAGGTCTGGGCTATTCCAGCAGTGGAATATTATTATCTTGAACCTCCCAAAAAATTAAAGTGGTGTTATTAACCATCAAACCTCAAAAATACACTCCCCCCCCCAAAAAAAAAGGTTTCCACAATTTTGGCCGCTACTGTACAAAGCCTGGGAACGAGCTGCTATTTTCCCTGCCAGTGAATCACACCAGGGGCGACCCCTCCCAGCTTGGGCCCTTGCCCAGGAGGGAGGGAGGGAGGGAGGGGGAAAAACCTTTGTACCCTCGCCTCTCCCGGCTCTCCTTTGGCTAGGCTGCCGGGAAGAGGGGTGCGGAGGAGGAGGAGGAGGCGGCGAGGAAGAGAAGAGCTGGCCGGCTCCCGCGTGGGGGAGGGGGCGCATCCCCACCGTTTCTTCTCGCCCACCGCCGAGATGCTCCAGCCGAGCCCACCGGACCCCCAAGCCTTGGGGCGTTGATCCTTCAGACGGGTCCCTCTTTTCGCCCTTGGAGAACCGACGGCGGGACTCTGCAAGCGTGCGCCCTGGGCGCGTCGGTCGGTCGGTCGGTCGCTTGGTTCCCCTTCCTTCGACGGCGGGGCGCGAGGTTTGACGACTGGTTGGGTGGGGGGCTTTCTCGGAGCTTCGGCTGCCCGGAGAGACGAGATATCCCGTGCAGGGGGGGTGATAGGTCGGAACCCACTCCCCTCGCAGCTCGGGGCGCTTGGAAAGACTTTCGCGCTCTTGGAGAGGTTGCGCGCAGCATCTCCATCACTCCGTCGGTTTCGGGGGTTCGCCCGTAAGGGTGGTGGATGGGTGGGTGGGTCTCCACGATCGGGGTGGGGATGGGGGGATAAGCGACGACCCCAGCCTCTCCGGGCGCGGAAGGGTGGAAGAAGGCAAAGCATTAGCCGGAGGGCCCATGAGTATGGAAAGTCCCTCGAGCGTGTCCAACAAGTCCAACAAGAGTTGGAAGGGCAGAGTCCAACCCCCTGCTCATGCAGGAGACCTGTACTAGGGATTCGAACCCGGGGTCTGGAGCCCCTTTCCTGGCCTTAGAACTGGCTGACTGCCTTGGCTCTCTTCTCCCCACCACCACCACAGATAAAGCGGCCCACCGACTGGGAGGTCAGCGCTGCTGGACTCATCCTGGTCCCTTCGGAAAGAGGCAGCCTTCTCTTCTCGTGGCCGGAGATGGCTCTTTCCCCTCCGCGGATCTGGCTGGGCTGCTGTGGAGCCGGGATCCTGCTCAGCTTCTTGGTGAGTTTGGCGCTTTCCAAAGAGGCGGGACCTCCTTGGTTTGTCGGGGGTCTTTTCAGTCTCCACTTTGGGGTAGGTTCCAGGTTAGTAGCCTCCAGATTAACATGTCTCCCCTGGTCCTTCTCTTCACTAGACCAGCCAGGCCCAGTTCCTGCAACCTTTCATAGTATGTTTTAGCCTCCAGGCCTTCGATCATTTTAGATAGATTCAGATTAACAGAGTTGGAAGGGACCTTGGAGGTCATCTAGTCCAACCCCCTGCCCAAGCAGGAGACTCTACACCATTTCTGACAGATGGCAGTTCAGTCTCTTCTTGGAAGCCTCCAGTGATGAAGCTCCCACAACTTCTGAAAGCAACTTCTGTTCCAGGGGTTGGTTTTTCTCACTGTCTCCTTATTTCCAGGTTGAATCTCTCCTTGATCAGTTTCCATCCATTCTTCCTTGTCTGGCCTTCGGGTGCTTTGGAAATAGCTTGACCCCCTTCTCTCTGTGGCAGCCCCCCAAATATTGGGAGGCTGCTATCCTGTCTCCCCTGGTCCTTCTCTTCTCTAGACCAGCCATGCCCAATTCCTGCAACCGTTCATCGTATCTTTTAGCCTCCAGTCCCCGAATCCTCTTGGTTGCTCTTCTCTGCACTCTTTCTAGAGTCTCCACATCTTTTTTATAGTGTGGTGACCAAAACTGGATGCAGTACTCTAAGTGTGGCCTTACTAAGGCTTTATAGAGTGGTATTAGTACCTCCCTTGAACTTGATTCTGGGTGGGTTCCAGAATTGAAATTCTTTTACTACCGGTTCTGTGGGCATGGCTTGGTGGGTGTGGTATTGCTTGGTGGGCGTGGCTTGGTGAGCGTGGCAGGGGAAGGATACTGCAAAATCCCCATTCCCACCCCACTCTCGGACCAGCCAAAGGTGGTATTTGCTGGTTCTCCGAACTGCTCAAAATTTCTGCTACTGGTTCTCCAGTATCTGTCAGAACCTGCTGGATTTCACCCCTGGTTCTGGGTGGTCTCGGCCTTCCAGCATCCCAAAAGTCCATCATCAGAGTAAATATCCTTAGTAAGGCCTCCCTTGGAATACCGCATCCAATTTGGGTCACCACATTACGAAAAAAGATGTTGAGACTTTGGAAAAATTGCAAAGAAGAACAACTAAGATGATTAAAGGCCTGGGGACTAAAACATATGAAGAACAACTGCAGGATTTAGGTTTGGCCAGTCTAGAGAAAAGGAGGACCAGTGGGGGACATGATAGCAGTATTTCAGTATTTGAGGGGCTGCCCCAAAGGAGAAGGGGATCAATTTATTCTCCAAAGCATCAGAAGACAAGACAAGAAGCAACGGTTGAAAATGAATCAAGGAGAGAAGCAACCTGGAATTGAGGAGGAACTTCCTAACAGTGAGGACAATTAACCAGTGGAACAACTTGCCACCAGAAGTTGTGAATGCTCCAACACTGGAGGTTTTTAAGAAGAGGTTGGACAGCCATTTGTCTGAAGTGGTGTAGGGTTTCCTCCCTGAGCAGGGGGTTGGACTAGAAGACCTCCAAGGTCCCTTCCAGCTCAATTCTGATTGATAGCATTGGTAGAGTTGGGATGGACAAGAACTGATGACCCCATGACTGTCTGGAAGGTGTTTCCTTGCTGGTGATGGTCCATTGGGGTTGAAGTGCAATTAGCGAGGGCAACTAAAACTAAAACTAAATTGTTTTAATTTGGACTTTTAATTTTATATTGTTTTGATGTGCAATTGTGCATTTTATTGTTGTGAGCCGCCCTGAGTCCATTGGAGATAGGGCGGCATACAAATCGCATTAAACTAAACTAAACTAAACTAAACTAAACTAAACTAAACTAACGTGTACGTATTTTCCACACTTCTGATGGTCCAGAATTTTAATGGTTTGTTTTTTTTTAAATCAACCACAACCTTTAATTCAATAATGTGGCTTTTCCTAGAGGACAAGGAACGGTTTTGAAGAGATGCCACTGGTTCTCAAAACTCTTAAGCAACCCCCAGAGTTGACTAAAGATTCTTAATTCCGAACAAACTTCCTATGGCTAAAATGGTGGTTTGAGTTTTGTATAGATTTTGGCCAAAGGATGGTAGCTGTGGCTATGGAGAAAGACCTTGAAAAACACTTTGCGCAAGCTCAGAGGCCCCTTCCTGGAGAAAGAAATGTTTTGAAAAACACTTTGCACATGGTCAGAGGCCCCTTCCTGGAGAAAGATCTTGAAAAACACTTTGCATATGCTCAGAGGTCCCTTCCTGGAGAAAGATCTTGAAAAACACTTTGCATATGCTCAGAGGCCCTTCCTGGAGAAAGACCTTGAAAAACACTTTGCATATGCTCAGAGGTCCCTTCCTGGAGAAAGATCTTGAAAAACACTTTGCATATGCTCAGAGGTCCCTTCCTGGAGAAAGATCTTGAAAAATACTTTGTGCACGCTCAGAGGCCCTTCCTTGTCCATTAGGCAACATCCAGTTGTGCTAATCCTTTTCTTGGTCCCTGAATAATATTTAAAAGGCAGTCTTCTTCCTCTTTTAGAGGCTGGGAAAAATCCAGAATTTGGGGAACTTGCATTTTGCAACACCAGAGGAAGGGGCAGGGGGGGTTTCCTTTTGCAGAGGGTGGTCTCAAAACTCGATTATTTTTTTTCCCCAGGTCGCCCTTCCCTGGAGGAAGACGCTGGCCTTCACCATACCTGCCGAAAATCACGTAACGAAAGGTCTGTGGCCAGTGGTGGGATCCTACCAGTTTAACAACGAGTTCGGTAATCACGTGCTTTGCTCCCAGCTGATCGTCGGAGCTGCCGATTCGCTCGAACCGGTCGAATCCCATCCCTGTCTGTGTCTCCTGGTCTCCTCTGACGCATTTCCATAAATGCCAGTGTTCTCTTGGCTTGCAAACGGTTTAAGCTCACCGCCCCCACTCCGATCTTTGGGGGATTGGTGAAAATACTCCCAAAACAACCAAAGATTTGGTCAGCTCTTCCTTCGGGAGTCCTGCCAGTTGTTATTTTGTGCTCCGAAGACGGAATAATTCCCGAGGGAAAGAAGCCCGCAGTAGGTTTTAGAGAAGATTTTAGCTGTCCTTCTCTCTTTCCTTCTCCACCGTGGCTGTCGGGGGGTGGGGGGCGAAGGCATGGCTTTAAAAAACTTCTTTTGGGGGGTGATAAAAGTGGGGGTGTTGCCCAGTGGTGAGTTTCAAATTTTTTTACTACCGGTTCTGTGGGCGTGGCTTGGTGGGCGTGTCATGTCTTGGTGGGCGTGGCTTGGTGGGCATGTCATGTCTTGGTGGGCGTGGCTTGGTGGGCATGGCAGGGGAAGGATACTGTCAAATCTCCATTCCCACCCCACTCCAAGGGAAGGTTACTGCAAAATCCCCATTTCCTCCCGATCAGCTGGGACTCAGGAGGCAGAGAACAGATGGGGGCGGGGCCAGTCAGAGGTGGTATTTGCCGGTTCTCTGAACTACTCAAAATTTCTGTTACCGGTTCTCCAGAACTGGTTAGAACCTGCTGAATACCTCCTCTGGTGTTGTCCCCAGGCTCAGAAGCAATTAATGAAAAGGGGACCCAGGAAGTAGGGACATTTGGGGCTCTCTCAAGAAGCAAGAAGATAATGTCCCATTTTCTTCTTCTCCTCCATGTCCATGTCCACCATACCACCATCATCCCTTCTCCTTCTCCATCTCCTTCTCCATCATCAGCATTCCTCTTTCTCCACCTGCTTCTTCTCTCTTCTTCTTCTTCTTCTCCATCTCCATGTCCACCACACCATCATCGCCCCTTCTCTTCCTTCTTCTCCATCATCATCATTCCTCTTTCTCCTCGTCCTTTTTCTCCCTCTTCTCCTCCATGTCCATGTCCACCACACCACCATCATCCCTTCTCCTTCTCCATCGTCATCATTCCTCTTTCTCCACCTGCTTTTTCTCTCTTCTTTTCCATGTCCATGTCCACCACACCATCATGCCTTCTCCTCCATCATCATTATTCCTCTTTCTCCACCTGCTTCTTCTCTCTCTTCTTCTCCATGTCCACCAGACCATCATCACCCCTTCTTTTTCTACACTGTTGTCATTCTGCTTTCTTCCCGCTTCTTCTCCCTCTTCTTCTCCATGTCTACCACACCATCATCACCCCTTCTCCTTCTCCATTGTCATCATCATTTCTCTTTTTCCTCCTTCTTCTCTCTCTTCTTCTTCCTCCTCCTCCTCTTCTTCTTCTTCTCCATATCCATGTCCACCACACCATCATCACCCCTTTTCCTTCTCCACCGTCATCATCATTCCTTTTTTCCTCCTCCTTCTTCTTTCTCTCTCTTCTTCTTCTTCTTCCTTCTCCTCCTCCTCTTCCTCCTCCTCCTCCTCCTTTTTCTTCTTCTCCTTCTCCTCCATGTCCATGTCCACCACACCACCATCACCCCTTCTCCTTCTCCATCATTATCATCATTTCTCTTTCTCCTTCTCCTCCTCCTCCTCCTCCTCTTCCTTCTCCTCCTCCTCCTCTTCTTCTTCTTTTCCTTCTCCTCCATGTCCATGTCCACCACACCATCATCACCCCTTCTCCTTCTCTATCATTATCATCATTTCTCTTTTCTCCTCCTCCTCCTCCTCCTCCTCCTCTTCCTCCTCCTCCTCCTCCTCTTCTTCTTCTTTTCCTTCTCCTCCATGTCCATGTCCACCACACCATCATCACCCCTTCTCCTTCTCTATCATTATCATCATTTCTCTTTCTCCTTCTCCTCCTCCTCCTCCTCCTTGCTACTCATTCCAATGTGCAACTGTTTGTCATGGCTTCAGAGTTTGGGACACCTCCTTTAACCCCACTTCTGCTTGGTTGATTTTTCTCTCCAGGTTCCGGTCCCTTCCCTCTGGTGATGGAGACCCCAACAGCGGTCTACGAGTACGTGTCCGATCTGCTCGATTGGTGGCACGCCAATGTCTACTGCCAGCAGCGTTTCGCTCAGTTGCCCTCGGAGAGCTGGGTGGATGAGCTGTCCTCTTTGGGCCGAAACCTCTCCCACCGGCTTCAAACCACCGTCTGGTTAGACGACGAGGAACTCTTGCAGCGGAAGGCGAAGCAAAGACGTGAGTAGAACAGCCCCATCTATGAGCTGCGACTTTGGGGTGGCCGGTGGTGACCGAGAGAGGTCCTGAGATGGTAGGTGTGGTCCCTTGGATTTAATTCTCATTGTAACCTAGGTGAGAGGAGTGTGGCAGAGGGAGGGAGAGGACTGTAAGCCAATAGTTCGGGAAGGGATCTGGCCTTAATGGTTCTTGGAGTCGGAGCTGATCACTTATGAAAACCTGGTTCAAGAGACCTCACCGTTTCTGAGCAACAGTACCGGTATCTTCTCCTTCTCCTTTCCCTCCTTCTTATCTTTCTCCTCCTTCTTCTCCTTCTTTCCTTCTCCTTCTTCTCATAGATCCTTTCTTCCTTCTGCTTCTCTCCTGCTTCTCCTCCTTCACTCTTTCTCCTTCTCCCTCATTTCCTCCTTCTCATCTATCTTCTCCTTCCTTCTCCTCCTCCACCTTCGTCTTTCTGCTCTTTCTCCCCCTTTCTACTACTTCTTCTCCTTCACTACCATTCCTCCTCCTTTCCTTTTTATCTATCCTTTCTTCCTTCTCTTTCTCTCCTTCTCTCCTGCTCCTCCTCTTTCAATCTTTCTCCTTCTCTTTTTCTCCTTCATCTCCTCCTTCTCAGCTATCCTTTCCTTTCCTCCTCCTCCACCTTCGTCTCTCTTCTCTTTCTCCCCCTTTCTACTACTTCTTCTCCTTCACTACCATTCCTCCTCCTCCTCCTTTCTTTCTTTTTATCTATCCTTTCTTCCTTCTCTTTCTCTCCTTCTCTCCTCCTCCTCTTTCAATCTTTCTTCTTCTCTTTTTCCCCTTCATCTCCTCCTTCTCAGCTATCCTTTCCTTCTCCTCCTCCTTCTTCACCTTCACCTATCTTCTCTTTCTCCCCCTTTCCACTACTTCTTCTCCTTCCCCACCATTCCTCTTCCCCCTCCTTCTTTTTATTTTTATTATTTTTATTTATTTTAAATTTATTTTTATATGCCGCCCTTCTCTGGAGACTCAGGGTGGCTTACAATGCATTAAGCAATAGCCTTCATACTTTTGTATATTTTATACAAAGTCAGTTTATTGCTCCCACAAACCGGGTCCTCATTTTACCCACCTTAGAAAGGATGGAAGGCTGAGTCGACCTTGAGCCTGGTGAGAATTGAACTTGCCTTAGTAGGAGGCATTAGCCTCCTATGCCACTCAGGCTTCTCTTCCTCCTCCTCCTCCTCTTGCTTCTCCCTTTTCTTCTCCTCTCCCTTTCTTTTTAATTTTTATCCTTCTGTGGGCCTCCTTCCCCGAATAAACTCCTAACCTTCATTTTTGCACCAATTCTCTCCAGGCGTCCACTCGCCCTCCATCCTGATATTCGGGAACAAAACAGACACCAAGTTTGTGAAGGTCCTGGCTGACTTCCCAGCAATGGCCGCAGTGAGCGCATGTGCCCACGTCCAGTGGGACCCCACGGCCACCGAGGTCTCGACCGTCTTCTCCTATGCGGTCCCAGCCTTCACCAATGAATTCCAGCTACGTGGCATCGTCGACAAGGACCAATTCGTCAAGTTTGCCATCATCCTCCATGGCCATCACTCCCCTTACCTGCCAGTCTTCCGCACCGACACGGGTTGGCACCACTTCTGCGTCACGTGGCAACAATCCAACGGCACGTGGGTCATCTATGCTGATGGGAAGCAGAAGGCCTCGGCCTCTGGACTTGCACCTTCTCGCGCCATTGATGGCCACGGGATGTTCATCATCGGTCAAGACCAGGACTCCTTGGGAGGCGCTTTCAAGGAGAAAGAATCCTTCAGTGGGAACCTCACTGACCTGCAAGTTTGGGGGCGGTCCCTCAGCCAAGAGCAGGTGGAGAAGATCCGCTCCTGCGTGTCCATCAGAGAAGGTCTCATCTTTGACTGGAGGGACGACATCTTGGAAGTGGAAACAAGCGTTCAAGAGGCCACGGTGAAGCTCACCTGCCCAGGTGAGTCTCCCTTGGGAGGGTCAACACTACTAGCTGCCAAGAGTTACCTGTTTGAAACCCATTGAGTTGTGCGCTGCTTTGTCCGCTGGCATTGATTGTTCCGTGGAGACCAGAAGTGGGCTTCACATACTGTTACAACCGGTTAACCCAGCACCGGAAATGAGCACGTGCTGTCCGCGCGTGTGTATGGTGTCACAAAACATGGCAATTCGTTCATGCACGCCGTCTCCCCAGAGTTTGCCTCCCGAGAGATTTCCTTGGCTGCCACTAAGCACTTCCGCCTGGGATCTCTCCGTTTCCATCATTAGCATGCAAAGAGAATGCTTGTAAACATTCTGCGATAGGACAATGGAGTTGGAAAGGATCTTGTAGGCCATCTAGTCTAACCTCACTCCCCGCTCAAGTAGAAGACCCTACACCATTTCTGACTGATGACAGTCCAGTCTCTTCTTGGAAGCCTCCAGTGATGAAGCTCCCACAACTTCTGAAGGCAACTTTTAGTTCCATGGGTTGATTGTTCTCCCTGTCAGGAAATTCCTCCTTATTTCCAGGTTGAATCTCTCCTTGTTCAGTTTCCATCCATTGTTCCTTGTCTGGCCTTCGGGTGTTTTGGAGAATAGCTTGACCCCTTCCTCTCTGTGGCAGCCCCTCAAATATTGGAAGATGCTCTCCTGTCTCCCCTGGTCCTTCTCTTCACTAGACTAGCCAGGCCCAGTTCCTGCAACCGTTCATCGTATGTTTGAGCCTCCAGGCCTTTGATCATTTTAGATAGATTCAGATTAACAGAGTTGGAAGGGACCTTGTAGGTCATCTAGTCCAACCCCCTGCCCAAGCAGGAGACCCTACGCCATTTCTGACAGATGGCAGTCCAGTCTCTTCTTGAAAGCTTCCAGGGATGAAGCTCCCACAACTTCTGAAGGCAACTTTTACTTCCATGGGTTGATTGTTCTCCCTGTCAGAAAATGTCTCCTTATTTCCAGGTTGAATCTCTCCTTGATCGGTTTCCATCCATTATTCCTTGTCTGGCCTTCGGGTGCTTTGAAGAATAGCTTGACCCCCTTCCTCCTCTCTGTGGCAGCCCCTCAAATATAGGAAGACTTTTATATATATATTTATTAAATTTATATATTTATTAAATTTATATCCCGCCCTTCTCCCTGAAGGGACTTAGGGCGGTGAGTGCTTTGGGTGCTTTGGAAAATAGCTTGGCCCCCTCCTCTCTGGGGCAGTCCCTCAAATATTGGAAGATGCTCTCCTGTCTCCCCTGGTCCTTCTCTTCACTAGACTAGCCAGGCTCAGTTCCTGCAACCGTTCATCGTATGTTTGAGCCTCCAGTCCCCTCATCATCCTGGTTGCTCTTCTCTGCACTCTTTCTAGAGTCTCAACCTCTTTTTTATAGTGTGGGGACCAAAACTGGATGCAATAATTCTAGGTGTGGCCTTACCAAGGCTTTATAGAGTGATATTAGTACCTCCCTTGATCTTGATTGTGTCCCTCTGTTCATGCAATTTAGGATTGCATTGGCTTTTTTGGCTGCTGCCACACACTGCTGGCTCCTATTTAATTGGTTGTCCACTAAGACTCCCAGATCCCTCCCAGAGTTACTGTCACAGCAGCACAGCCAATAGGATGGAATGGGCGTGGCCCACCAGGAGAAAGTGCTTGAGATAAGCCGAGAAGATCATCAAGTGTGTTATTGTTGGTTGGATTATGATAAGATCCTTTGATGGGTTTTCGGTTGAACTTATCAGGTGTTTCTTATGCCTCCACAGTCCCCATAGAAGAATGTCGTGTTTTCACAGTTAGCCATGGAAGCCAACACAGTCCCTGCTCCACGATGCTACCTTTTGTCTGTCGCTACAGAAAAGGTAGGTCAGTTTGATGGGAGGGGGGGCTCCACCTTCTCAGGAACACTGTCCGTGGGGTTGGGTTGTTTGGTTAAGTTTAAGAAGATCTTAAGCTTAACCAAAATCATGGCTAAGAGAACATGGTGGCCCAGTGGTTAAGACGCTGAACTTCTTTTTTTTTTTTATTGCAAAAGTTTTACAATTACATTTTCACCCCTTTTTTCACCCCCCCACCTCCCTCCCCAAACTTCCCGTCCTCCCTAACCCTCCCTAACCCTCCCCCCCCAGACTTCCCTATTATGTACTCATAACTAATAACACTGATATATATACCTGAACCCATCCCTCCCCCTACATAATTTTCCCTCTTTGTCTCTTTATATTAAAATATTTCTAATACATTGTTTTCAAATAAAAGCTATTTGATACTTTCTAATTTGGTATTTGTTCTGAACATATTCTATCCACCTTTTCCATTCCCATTCATAAGTCTCTTGTGAACAATCTTTTAAATATGCTGAAATCTTCGCCATCTCTGCAAAACTGACCATCTTCGAAGTCCATTCCTCGATAGTAGGCAAAGCTTCATTCTTCCAATATTTACCTATCAACAATCTTGCTGCTGTTATCATATACAATATTAATTTTGTTTCATCCCGTGTAAAACCCTTAACTATGCCCAATAAAAACAATTGTGGAGAAAATTGAATTTTTTTCTTCAAAACATTCTGCATGACCCACCATATTTTTATCCAAAAAGCCTTAACTTTCCTACAGGTCCACCAAACATGATAATACGTAGCATCCAAACATTCACATCTCCAACATTTTGGCTGAACATTAGGGTACATACATGACAACTTTTTAGGATCTAAATGCCATCTATAGAACATTTTATAAAAATTTTCCCTCAGATTCTGCGACTGTGTAAATTTAACATTCTGAACCCAAATTTTTTCCCATGTTTCCAACATCACTGGTTCTTCAAAATTTTGTGCCCACTTAATCATGCAATCTTTAACTAATTCCGTTTCTGAATCCCTTTCTAGCAAAACATTATAAAGCCTTTTAATATGCATTGGACCTTTCTCTCTTATATGTCTAACCAATTCTTCCTCATGCAACATAATACCAGTTTTTTGGTCCTCTTTCCATCTCAATTGTAATTGATTATATTGTAACCAGGTTAAATTAATCCCTTCATCCAACAGTGTCTGCAATGTCTTCAGCTGCCATCTGCCCGCATCTGTAAAAAGAACCTCTTTGTATAAAAACCCCCCGAGTGACATTATATTTGTATTCCACAAGGTATGACCAAGATCCAGCCATAGCGGTATTTTATAATCCCATTTGAGTCGGTGCTTCTTCCAAACTCTCATCAAAGAGTCTCTAAGTATATGACTTTTAAATACTTTATCAACTTTGTCATCATAAAATAGGTAAGCATGCCATCCAAATTCAAGATCAAAACTTTCTGCATTCAATATTCCAGCCTTTTTACCCCCAAACCAATCACTTGTTAAAGTTAAAGCTGCTGCATCATAATATAACTGTAGGTTTGGAAGTTTAAGGCCTCCTCTTTCTGGAACATCTTGCATAATTTTCAATTTCACTCTCGGCTTTTTCTCGTTCCAGACGAACTTATTAAGTCCAGTTTGCCAAACTTTCAGTTGTTTATCACTTTTAAGCACCGGAATCATTTGAAACAAAAACAGAAATCTTGGCAACATGTTCATCTTAACTGCTGCTATTCTTCCAAGTAAAGACAGTTGCAGCTTTTTCCAAGTCTCCATGTCTTTCTGAACCTCTCGCCACAACACCTCATAGTTATTTTGAAACAATTTCATATTTGATTCTGCAACCTGAACTCCAAGATATTTTACCTTAGGTACAATTTCAAAACCTGCCCTCCTTTCAAGCTCATGTTTACGATCTTGTGTCATATTTTTGACTATCATTTTAGTCTTTTTTGAATTCAGTCTAAAACCTGAAACTCTACCATAATCTTGTATAATGTCATTCATCAGGATTGTTGATTCCATTGGTTGTGATAGGGTAACCACCAGATCATCTGCAAATGCCTTTATTCTATAATCCTCTTGCCTTATCATTATACCTTTCAAAATTTTTGAGTCCCGTATTGTATTTAGCAAGACTTCCAATGTTAAGATAAATAAAAGTGGGGACAACGGACATCCCTGTCTTGTTCCTTTTTCAATTTTAAACTCTGTCGTCAAACTTCCATTAATAATAATCTGTGCTTTTTGCTCTTGATAAATTGCTGAGATCGCCTGTGTAAATTGGTCCCCAAAGCCCATCTTTTTTAAAGTCTTTAGTAGAAAATTCCAATCCACTCTATCAAAGGCCTTCTCCGCATCCAAAAAGACCAGCACTGCAGAAATCTGTTTATTCTTATCAAGATATTCCAATAAGTCTATTACTTGCCTTACATTGTCCTTCATGTATCTGCCCTCAATAAATCCCGCTTGGTCCTCATGAATCACCTTTTGGATTACTGGCATCAACCTGTTGGCTAATACCTTCGCATAAATTTTATAGTCTGTGTTCAAAAGAGATATTGGTCTGTAGTTCTCTGGTTTTTTAGGACCAACTTGTTCCTTTGGTATCAAAGATATATAAGCAGTTGTCCAGGATGGGGGTATTTTACCCCCTTGTTGAATATTGCAAAATAAATCTCTAAGTTGTCCCACCATTTCAGCTTGTAAAGTTTTGTAATACACTGCAGTCAAACCATCCGTGCCAGGAGCTTTAGCTGTTTTTAGCTGTTTAATTGCTACTATTATCTCCTCCTCTGTTATAAGATAATTCATTCTTTCCTTTTGTTGATCAGTAATTTTTGTAACTCTCTTATCCTTTAAATATTTTTCTATAAGTCCATTCTGCACCTCTTCTTTAGCATATAGTTTAGTATAATAATCCACAAAAGCTTCTTTAATTAATTTTTGTTGAAAAATTTCTTTCCCTCCAATATCGATACTGTCAATAGTCCGCATACTTTGTTTTTTCCTCAATGTGTAGGCCAACCATCTGCCCGGTTTATTAGCATTGCAAAATGTATTATGCTTCGCGTATTGTAAGCTTGTTGCAACTTGTTCCGCCATAAGCATTTGGAATTGGTCTTTCAAAAGTTTTATAGCACTTCGTATTCTTTCATCTGTTGGGTTTTTAATAAGTAACTGTTCTTTATTCTTTATTTCCATTTCCAACTCAGATCTTTTCTTTTGTCGGAACAGTCTATGTTTAGAATTCATGTAGATAAGTACCCCTCTCATATAAGCTTTACTTGCATCCCAAACAATTTCAACTGGGGTACCTTTATTCAAATTTATTTCAAAAAATTCTTTCAAATGCTTTTTAAGTTCTATTATATTTTTTTCATATCTAAACAAGTTCTCATTTAATCTCCAAGAACGTCTCTCAACCTTATCCATCTCGATTTCTATCCATACAGGACTATGATCAGTCAAAGTTCTTGGAAAAATCTTTGTTCTTTTTGTCTTAACAAGTAGATCATTTGACAACAAGATAAAATCAATCCTAGAAAAGGATCTATGTCTATCAGAAAAAAAAGTGTAATCCAATTCATTTGGATTATGTATTCTCCAAACATCTTTTAGTTCCATATCTTCTTTCATATCAAAAAAGGTCTGTGGTAATCTAATTCTAGACTTTGCCAAGCTCTTTTTATCTAATTTAGAATCAATTACTCCATTCCAATCTCCCATAATTAAAATAGATCTGTAGTCCCATTGCAATATTTTAGTATGTAACATCTTGTAAAAATAATCCTGTTGTTGGTTGGGAGCATAAATTCCAATCAAAAGAATTTGCCCATTTGCTGTAAACAATTCAATTGCTACAAATCTACCATCTTGATCTACTTCTATAACTTTTGCTGTTAATTTTTTATTTACATAAATAACCACACCATTCTTTTTCTGCGAAGTTGAAGATATATAATGTACTCCTAGTTTTGAGTTTATCAAATATTTTTGATCTTGAGTTGTAATATGCGTTTCTTGTAAACATATTATATCATTATTAAATTGTTTCAAATATGTAAATAATTTTTTTCTTTTCTGTGCTGAATTCAACCCATTGACATTCCAAGATAAACACTTAAAGGTCATTAGCCTCTTTCTGGAGCGCTGAGCAATATGCTTGAAGTTCATCCGAGAGCTTCGATCTCGCTCCTCCCATAGCGCCAGTCTCTTGTGCAGTGCTCTTAACTGCCTTCTTATCTTGTCTTTCCTGTTGTTGTTGTTGCTTTTGTTTAAGTAGCTTGGATTGAGCTCTAGTTATACGTTGATCTTTAACTTCAGTCAACTGAATCAAATCCAAAATTGGAGAAGAATCCAGCAATGGCTCACTCAGAATACCTCCTTCTGCACCTTGCACGTTTTCTAATTCCTGCTTAGACTGTTCTTTCAATTGCCTCAAGACGCTGAACTTCTTGATCGAATGGTCAGCAGTTCAGCGGTTCGAATCCCGAGCGCCGCATAACAGGGTGAGCTCCCGTTCCTTGCCCCAGCTTCTGCCAACCTAGCTGTTCGAAAGCACGTAAAAAAAATGCAAGTAGAAAAATAGGGACCACCTTTGGTGGGAAGGCAACAGCGTTCCGTGCGCCTTTGGCGTTGAGTCATGCCGGCCACGTGACCACGGAGACGTCTTCGGACAGCACTGGCTCTTCGGCTTTGAAACGGAGAGGAGCACCGCCCCCTAGAGTCGGGAACGACTAGCACATATGTGTGAGGGGAACCTTTACCTTTACTTTTAAGAAGATCTGAGTTCAAAACCACCAAAAGTAGTCAGCCCTCTGTTTACAACCGTCATGGAGTCTAGCCATTACGTTGTCGTAAGTCATGACATTGTAAAGATGTGACCAATCTGATTTTATGACCTTTTCTGTGGAGGTCAATAAGCACCTGCCATGGTTGTTAAGAGAACCAGTGCCGTAAGACAAGGACTACCTCTATTGAGACCCAGGATGAGTTTGGACCAATCGTCCCTTCCTAGAAATATACCTTAACCATTGGTGGGTTGCTACCGGTTCGCACCGGTTCGCCCGAACCAGTAGCGGCGGGATTGGGAATCTGCCCCTGACCTTAATGTATATAAAATGAAGACCTGGAAGGGAAAATGAGAAATCAAAGCAAGAATGAAAATAGCTGGGCACCAAGGAAAGGTCCATGTTCCTCTTTGGGCTTTTCACCCCGTCCAGATCTTTACTTCCAGCTGAAGAAAACCCAGTCGGAATCTGTCCCGCCGTTCATCGCTCGTGTGAATGCCCAGGCGAATACGACAGTGGTAAGTTTAAGAGATCAACAACGATGCTGTTGTGGCCTGCCAGATTCGGACAGTGAGGAGGTTGGGGAGGAACGTGGGCCAGTCCTGGAATCTGGGGAAGGCTCATATGAGGGCTCTGCGTCGGAGGCAGAGAGAGAGCCAGGGCCATCTGATAGTAATGTGCTGCCTCCGGAACCTCCAGAATCTGACATCAGCAAGGCAGAAGAACAGTGTGAGCCTGTTCTCAGTGTGCGCATGTGCAGAGCTGCCAGAAGGCAAGAATAATTAAGGGAAAAAAAGGGCGACTCAGGAGTAAGGCTTGGAGATGATTGGCCCTCTCCCATAAGACAGAAAAGAGGAGCAAACGGAGGTGAGCCTTTGCAGGAAGCAATTAGTTCATATAGTCAATTCAAGCTCTGAGAAGCTCCGTTTGATGCTGTGCTTCGTTTGGCCTTGCAAAACTAATTGACAATTAGGTCTCTGGCAGCGTTTCAAGGGAGATAAAGGTGGGGTGCTTATCAACATTATCCTGGAAGACTGTGTCCACTTGAGCAGACATCTGTCGGAATCTTCACAGGCTGTTTGTGAATCGTTACGGGCTGTGAATGACCATAATTCACAGCTACCTCAATAAAAGAGGTTCTTTGGGGACTAAGATTGTGATTTATGCTTTCTCAGGAAGCCTAGGTCTAAGCGAGAGGCGACCTCGCTTAGATTCCTGGGGATTGATCCTGAGGTCCATCTGAAGCATGTCCTCTCCAACCAGATCACCCATTTCCCTAGTCCTGAAGCCAGGAAGCATCTGGGTTCCTCAAGTGATCCTTCTTGTAGGATCTGTAGAATTCCTTGGCCTCCCAACCTACCTTCTGAGGAAGGTGTAGACTGAGACAGTGAACTCAAATCAAGAATACAGACAGCCTTGCTAGGTCAGCAGAAGAGGGACAGAGAAGGGCGGCATATAAATCAAATTAAAAAAAAAAAAATACCGTTGGCGCAAGAGGGAGGACGCAGCACCTTCTCTTGGGTGCTTTGCATGTTCTCCTCTCAGGGGAAAAATTTATGTTCAAGAACACAATTCTGAGGTCCTCCTTCAGGTTGATTATACCGATTCCTCGTGTTGCTGTCAGGCTGCAGGATTTGGGGTTGGCTAGTCTAAAGAAACGAAGAATTAGGGGTGACACGATAGCAGGATTCCAGTAGTTGAGGGGCTGCCCCAAAGAAGAGGGGGTCAAATTATTCTCCAGAAGGCAGGACAAGAGACAATGGTTGGAAACTGATCAACGAGAGAAGCAACCTAGAATTAAGGAGAAACTTCCTAACAGGGAGGATCAGAGTTGGGTTTCAACAGGTTCTGACCAGTTCTGGAGAACCGGTAGCGGAAATTTTGAGTAGTTCAGAGAACCAGTAGTAAAAATTCTGACTGGCCCCGACCCCATCTATTCTCTGCCTCCCAAGTCCCAGCTGATCAGGAGGAAATGGGGATTTTGCAGTAACCTTCCCCTGGAGTGGGGAGGGAATGGAGATTTTACAGTATCCTTGCCCTGCCATGCCCACCAAGCCACACCCACAGAACCGGTAGTAAAAAAATTTGAAACTCACCACTGGGGAGGACAATTAACCAGTGAAACAGCTTGCCACCAGAAATCGTAGGCGCTCCATCACTGGATGGAGTGAGTCTAAGACTCTAGAGTCTAGACTCTAGAGTCTTGACAGTCACTATCTAAAATAATATACTGTGTTTCCCTGAAAATAAGACCGGGTCTTATTTTTGCTGAAAAAAATGCATTAGGGCTTATTTTCTGGTTAGGTCTTATTTTGGGGAAAATACAGGTACTAAATGCATCCATCTGGCTGACAATTTTAACTGGGGCTTATTTTTGGGGTAGGGCTTATATTACAAGCATCCTGAAAAATCATGCTAGGATTTATTTTCTGATTGGGTCTTATTTTAGGGGGAAATACGGTACTAAAGGCATCCATCTGGCTGACAATCTTAACTGGGGCTTATTTTTGGGGTAGACTTATATTACGAGCATCCTGAATAATCATGCTAGGACTTATTTTCCGGTTTGGTCTTATTTTCGGGGAAACAGGGTAGGTTCTCTGGCTTAAGCAGGAGGCTGGACTAGAAGACCTCCAAAATCCCTTCCAGCTCGTTCATTCTATTCTAAAGCTTGCCCAACGTCCTTCTCTAACTCCAGCCCCGTTCTTCTTCTGCAGATTCCCGAGAACGTCTTCCAGGCAGATGTCCAAGGTGTGACTGTTTCAGCCGCCGCGAATAGATTGGGGGTCGTGGAGAGGATCCTGTCCGAAGCCCAACCTCCACCTCTGGATGCCTCTTCTCTCCTGGGTGTCTTCCAGCTTTTGAAAGAGGTGTCAGATGTAGAGGTGGAAGAACCGGGACAACTGGCGGCACTGGAAGAGCTGGGCCAACATTATGTGCAGGTTACAGGAGGCTCCTGGAGGAGGAGAAGACAGACGATTGGTCTGAGATCAAGCCGGTAAAAGTAACAGTGTTGAGGGAGGGTCTTTGAGAGGCATCTAGTCTACTGGAATGGAATGGAATGGAATGGAATAGAATAGAATAGAATAGAATAGAATAGAATAGAATAGAATAGAATAGAATAGAATAGAATAGAATAGAATAGAATAGAATAGAATAGAAAACAACACAACACAACACAACACAACACAGAACACAGAACAGGTTACCGAATAAAATAGATTACAAGAATAGAATAGAATAGAATAGAATAGAATAGAATAGAATAGAATAGAATAGAATAGAATAGAACACAACACAACACAACACAACACAACACAACACAGAACACAGAACAGGTTACAGAATAAAATAGATTACAAGAAGGATAGAATGGAAGAATAGAATAGAATAGAATAGAATAGAATAGAACACAACACAACACAACACAACACAACACTACACAACACAACATAACACAACACAACACAACACAGAACAGGTTACAGAATAAAATAAATTACAAGAAGAATAGAATGGAATAATAGAATAGAGTAGAGTAGAGTAGAGTAGAGTAGAGTAGAGTAGAGTAGAATAGAATAGAATAGAATAGAATAGAAATAGAATAGAATAGAATAGAATAGAATAGAATAGAATAGAATAGAATTCTTTATTGGCCAAGTGTGATTGGACACACAAGGAATTTGTCTTCGGTGCATAAGCTCTCAGTGTACATAAAACATAGAAGCGATAAATCATGATCCTAGTCATCATAAAAATACATTCATTGTGAATCATAAGATACAACACTTAGCGATAGTCACAGGATACTAAATCAGCAATCAAAACCATACTCGGAAAGTAAATAAAACAATATAAATCGTAACGATATAAGCCACAGGGTTATAGACATTAGTAGGAAAGGAGATAGGTGATAAGAAGGATGAAAAGAAGAATAGTAATCCAGTCTAAGTAAAGAGTTTGATAGTTTTGTGGGAATTAGTTGTTTAGCAGAGTGATGGCGTTCGGGAAAAAACTGTCCTTGTGTCTAGTTGTGTCTGGTGTGCAGTGTCCTATAGCAGTGATGGCTAACCTTTTTGCCGTTGTGTGCCAAAAGCAGAGGGGAGGGGGGGTCGCGCGCATGCATGCCCACACCCATAATTCAATGCACCCCACTCCGCCGCGCATGTGTGTGCAGCTCCCCACGCTTTCAGCACATGATGGCATGGTGGGCCCAGTAGGCCTGTTTTTCGCCTTTCTCCAGGCTCCAGAGCCTTTCTAGGAGCCTGGGGAGGGCAAAAACAGCCTTCCCCACCCCACACCTCTGTTTCCCGACTTCTTGTGGGCCCAGAAGGCCCCAAAATTAGTTGGCTGGCGTGTGCATGTGCGCCAGAGATGAGCTAGGGCAACGCTCGTGTGCCCACCGATATGGCTCTGCGTGCCACCTGTGGCATGCGTGCCATAGGTTCGCCATCACGGCCCTATAGCGTTGTTTTGAGAGTAGAAGTTGAAACAATTTCTGCCTGGGATGTAAGGAGTCTGTAGATATTTCCACAGCCCTAGATCTGACAGCTGTCTGCCCAACCACCGATTAGGATTATCCTTTGCTTGGAGTTTTGATCTAGTTGGCAACTGAGATACGGAAGCTCAGGTGGTTCCTGTCTTCTCCAGATCATTGGGGGACCTATGACGGTGGTAGAGAACGTGGACAAGATGGCTTCCAGCCTCCATCAGCTCCTGAGCTCCGACCGAGCGAAAGTCACCTTTCACAGTAAGAACATGGGTAAGCGAGACCAAACTCTCTGCCATCTTGGTATGGACCATGTCCTTGATCTGTTTGGAAATGTTTGGGGGTCAAGGAGCTTTTCCTGGGGGTTATTCGAGGACCTTTGTCCCTCAAAGGGAATTGTGGGAGTTGAATTGTGGGACAAGAGGTCAAGAAATTCTGATCTAGCATCTTCTTCTTCTTCTTCTTGTGCCATATCCGTCATCGAACGTTGGCAATCATGTTGGCCATCCTGATGTTCTGTCCCCCTTCCCCACACAGGCAAACATAATACCAAGCACGCCTGCCAATATGTTATTAGGTAAACAGATTAGAATTCCTGGCAGGCCAAAGTTTTGGCAGCAAACTGCCGAATGCCTGCCAAGACCGTTTTCACTCCCATAAAGCAGAAAAGGACTTATCTTCAGTCCGTTTCAGGAGCAACAAATTATCCACGAGACAAGAGTTTAGTCAATGTTCAGTCCAAAATATATCCAAGCCGAAGTTCAGAGATCACGATGTGACTTTCAGGGTTTAACTTTGTCCGTCACAAAGTCTGAAGAGCAATCCCACCCACTTTTATTCCTGGTGGGGCGTGGCTCCGTGACTCAGCT